GGTGATGTCGAGCCAAACTCTCCTTAAATGTAACGCTTTTTAGATGAATAGTGGAAAGAAAATTTTGATATCTCGGGGCTATTGAACTTCTCACAGAAAGGAAACGCTTACGGCACTTGACAATGAACTGGAAACAGCAGTTTGGGATTTCTTTGCCTAAACATGAGTTTATTTAGTTTTTTTTTTTGCCCGTTGACTTGAAACCTACTTACATTAGGAGGAATCTTTGTCTATTTTTCTCTTCTTTACGCGCTGAACGCGTGAACATTTGCTGTCAAGATGTTGCGACAACGTCTGCTTGTCCTTGGTTACCCCGTCGGTTACTAAGCTAAACCATGTCTGATGAGGCGCTTAACTGTCGACAAGCCTAGGTTGGCTTACTTTTGATTTTTCCGCCATTTACCGAGGTTTGTTACAGTGTTTACACGATTAAAAATTTTACTTCACTAAAGTTAAAACAAAACCAAGGTAAAAATCTCTCGTGAAAACATGGGCTTAGACTGCTTAGAAATAAACCTGCCAAGAACGACCAATGTATAAATTGCAAGACAAATTAAAATCAAGAATGAAAATACAAAAAATTTAGGTATCTGTAATTTTGCGGCCAATTTTGTGATCAATTATTCATGAAAGCGCTGGCACATAACATAATGGAATGATAAGCGCTGAGTTGGATTTGGGATTCCTTCGTAACTGTAAATCTTATTCTTGATCTTTCAGACGGTTTTTGTGTTTTTTCTTACCTGCTAAGACAAACAGGCATAAAGTTTTGGCCATCACGAGGCTTTTACTGAATAATATCACGATCACTAAGAAAATCATTTCTTTAAAATTGCTAAGTGGGCCTGATAATATCGGGTTTTTTCAAAGCAACGTTGCCACAATGGTCAATGGAGAATCAATCTACTGAAGACGCTAAAAAGCCAGAAAACTCTCCAAATATCTCTTATTTTTGTTTTAAAATTAAAGCCATTTTGAATCACTCAGGCTAAAATTTTCAAACTTTTCATGCAGTAGAAGGAGTTGAGGAAGAAGATTCAGGCACGTCGATGTTACCAGGATCCGCCATTTTGGAAAATTGCTCGCTTGTTATTAAACTATCGACGATTCATTTTAAATTCCACAGTTTCTATGCCACATCAGCAACCCGTGTCACAACAATGTGGACTGTGTTCATAACTTTGAACAAAAGACTTATCAATGTGATTGCCAGCCAGGATTTGCTGGCCTTTTCTGTGAACGAACTGGTAAGTTTAAAAGTTTTCCTTTAGTTTCTTGCAAACTAATATTGTAAACTGCCGGGGTTCATGCCCTCATCTTTCCATAAGTTGGATTTTTCCTGATTAAATCGGTAATAACTGGCCTCAAATGTAATAACTGGCTCCAAATGTAATAACAGTTGGCCTCAAATGTAATAACTGGCTCCAAATGTAATAACAGTTGGCCTCAAATGTAATAACTGGCTCCAAATGTTATAACAGTAGGCCTCAAATGTAATAACTGGCGAACAAGTAAACAATACGTTTTATTTGCGATAAACTCAGTCTGCAAACATATTTTGGGTGTCATTTGTCACGTGACCTCGAAAAATCAGTTTTTCTAAACAACTGGATAGATAAAGACCAAACTTGGACATAGTGATCAATTACTGAAAATAAGCAAGTTCATGTGCCAGTATTTGATGATGTCATCAGTCACGTGACCGTCAGTAATTGAAATTTGGGATTTTTGGTGATGTCAATAGTCATGGAAAATTTTATACATCTTGGCTATTTCTGCATATTGCAGCCAGGCTGCCGAAAGCTGTCAAAGCTTTCATGCTGTTTGCGACATAATATTTCTTTTGAGTTGAAAACGACCAGAAACCACCAAAAGAAAGGTCCTTAGAACGAGAAGTGTGACGTCTTTTTTCCTCGATGAAACGTTTGCGTTTTGCACACGCTCAAAAGAACTATTATGATGGCATTCGCTGGTTATTACATTTGAGGCCTACTGTTATAACATTTGGAGTCAGTTATTACATTTGAGGCCAACTGTTATTACATTTGGAGCCAGTTACTACATTTGAGGCCAATTACTACACTTGTGGCCTCAACGACCACTATATATAAGATTTACATTTACATTTACATGAAGCCCGCGTGATGCCGGTGGGACGTTCGTACTAAAAGCGTTACTATTGTTTTTCGTTGCAGGCGCGCATTGCCCTATATAACAATCAATTAGAAGTTCTTTCCATTGTGTTTAACGCTGCTGACAGCAACAGAGATAACTGGTTTGCTAAAGGTCGCTTGATTCATTCGCCATGGAACGACTTGGATACCGAGCAACAAAATGACTTTTCCATTCTTGGAAACTCGTCATTAGGCAGAAGCTTCTACATCAACAAGGCTAACAACGGTTGTGACGGAGATGTTGGATGGCTCATGGCGTCATCTGGGAAAATCTGTGCCTTCGAGTCCCGCCATTCCGAGACAGTCTTCATGTACAGTAAACTTACTACTAGCGTCAACTGGAATGATTACGGTAGGAAGTGTAACACTCTGTTATTCGCATTTAAGACGCATTGAACTCGCTCTTGCCGTTTTCACGCCCACGAGTTTTTAACAACAAGATCTATCCCATAATACTTGTCACAGACTGCCACAGGTAACCCACCAAGCACCACAAGAAGTATAGTAGATGAAATAAAATAAAAATAATGTCCGTACTTTTGCTAGAGGAGTAAAAAACATATCTACTTCAAATCAAAACAAATGAAGCTGGTAAAGAAAAAAATGGATGGGTTCTGCGTGAGGAAATAAAATTAATCGGTAACTTAAGTAGACAACAAATGTATTATTAAGTAACGTTATTGTTTAAAGTAAGTATTAAAATTAGTGTCAAGTATAAAATTATTACATTATTATGCAAAGCAATTTAGTTTAAAGGATATGGAGTCTTTCTTAACTGTAAGCTAAAATTTCTTTAATTCATTTGTAACTTAATTCTTGAAAGATGACTTGTGAACATGTAATTGTGGAAATGAAAAAAAAACAAAAAGCGACAGAAGTCAAAGACTTTCAGTTTGTAAAGTGGGCATGTAAGTTTGGACTAATTTCCGCACCAAGATCAATATCTCTCTCTGTTTGGATCTGGGTTTTAGATTAAATTTTGGCCAGCAGAAAATTTGAAAATACGATATCGATTGTCTTGAAAGATATCGGTAGAGCAACAATAATACTCAAAGTAAAGAACGAAACAAAAGCTAATTCTTATATACCCAAAGACATCCAAAATTTCCATTAAGTCTGAAATGATATATTTTAGACCAGATGAGTGTGTCTAGTTGAGTTATAAGTATACAGTGGAACCTCCACTAACGGCCACCTCACCACAACGGCTACCTCTCCACAACGCCCCTTCTCTACAACAGCCACTTTTTTGTCCCTGCGAATCGGACGGTCCACACATTCACTCTTATTTAAATCTCTATGCAACGGCCTCCTCTCGAGAACGGCAACGGCCACTAAAGCACATCCCAACTGCAAAAATAACCTCTCGACAACGGCCAGTTAAATCAATGAATGATAAACGGTATCAGTACAAATTGTTATTCAACTTTCATACACTGTACGAATTCCGATTTTTTGATTGGCTGATTTGTACCTCGTGACACTGGGTTGTGACGAGACCACCTTGATGTCATTATCGTGGTGTAATAGCCGTGGTGTAAATTCAACACACCACTGTCATTACACCATGGCTTCGGCTGACTCAAATATAGTGGTTTCAATGCAGTGTTTCTTCGTGCAGTGTATTCAGTTTGAATAATAAAAATGTTAACGCACTCCATTGCTAGTAAATTATCGGGATTTACCTGTACTCGTTCACTAACAATGAACTCGAAATTTTCAATACCGCAATTGGCAAAGCCTCGTGCGGTATTGAAATTTCTCGTTTATTGTTAGTGAACTCGTGCAGGTTAATCCCGATAATTCTTTCGCTGAGTGCGTTAACCTGTAATTAAAACCCCATTTTTTATTGGGAAATTTAAAGGTCACAAAACTTGATTCATACCGCCCGTCGTTTGTCTGTCTTTCTGTTTGGTTTCTGTTTAATTGATGTATTTTGATTGTGTAATGTATTTACATGCTGCACTAAGCATTTTTTTGAGACAAAAATGTTGAAACCAACGAAAATACCGGAGTCATATTACACCCTTATACCTTCCCGTAGTGGCTATCTCATTAGAACGGCCACTTTCCTCTGTCACCAAGGTGGTCTTTGGTTAGAGGTTCCATTGTAGTCAGTACCTCGGTTATTTTAAGCTAATGCGTTAACAATATATTTGTTATTTTCTCTCCGGTATAGAAAACGTTGGGATCGCGGATGTCTTGGTGGTTTTTATTCGGTAGAACCATTGTAAGGACGGATGCGTGGTACGGCTGTGAAGAAACTACTAAAGATCTGGCCCTTTGCAATTTACAATTACAGTGACGTTTGCCGTTGGAAGTTTTCTGTACTTCGTGAATCGAGCAACCACTGCACGAGCCGCTTATTCGGAGTGTAACTGAGATTGCAGCACCTCAAAATAACTAACCAGTTCCACGATTTCGTAGAATTACACCTTTGACCTAATAATGTGCTTAGGAATTGATCTCCGGATTACCCCTTTTGTTCCACATACTTGCTTTCGGCTATGATTATGATGATATTCAAAAAATTCGTGACGTTTCTCCACGCTATTGACTGAATATATTGTATAATGACCTCCGAGAACAGAATTGAAAATGCGCGGCGTGGCGTTGTGGAGAATGTTTGATAAAATTCGAGGCGTTTATAGACATGATAAAACACTGTCTCGAGTATCTGACACTGGTATCTTCTCAATCAAAACTAAAGTTCGGACCTAAACAGGAAAGCAAAAAAATTAACTACTGCAAATCTTTCTTCGGCTACAGGTCATTAGAAAGGTTATGAATTGAGAATTTACAATTGGCTTTCAAGTTTCACGCATCCACAGTGCAAACGGCTTTTATTTTCCGTGTTTATGTATCGTTTTCCATATAATTAACGTGTATTTCGCCGATATTTTAAAACTATCTTTCCCTCTGTGAGCGCTTGATACGAGGGGCTTAAAATAAAGGATAAGAACATGCACTATTATACGAATTGCCTAATGGACAACTAAATGTCATTTCCAGGATATTAATAATTCATTGATGCAAACAAGAATATTAGATGTTACAATGATAATGATAACTTCTGAAACCTTTAGTCACTACTAGAAAATGTTAGAACTAAAACAACCTTAATCACTAAAATGACAGCAAACACGCTAGCCATAATTGTCCCTAATAACAACTTTATCGGCTTCAGATATCCAATCCAATTCACAACTAAGGAATCAGGTCTTTCAGTGTCTCCTGAGCTCATCGCTACTGACCTAGCTGACAAAATAAACCGTGTTTAAGCAGGGCAAAACCTTTTTTCAAAGAGCACACCGTTACTATCATGGTCAAGCGCTTTCTACAGATTCTGCTTAATTTCCTCGAGCTTCGCCAGATTGGCGAGTTTCCTTATGAAATCAACGGCCGACATGACAACCAAGGCAATCTTTGCTATCAGCGCCGCTCCCTCTGTAGCAAGAGCTGCAATGATCATGGCCGTCACCTTAGCTGCTGTCTCAAGCCAGTCGTACCATTTCATCTCTCTGCACAAGCTCTTGATGATGGTCCACACGATTCCAGCTGCGTAACTTTCCTTCAGAAGGATGAAGATGGCTTTAGCTCTTTTCAATGCATTGCCCCCAGCCGCGTGCCAAGAAGAAATGAACTTTGCAATCGCCCTCTGCAACGCCGAAGAATTCTCAATTGCCTTCGCGGTGTCTTCAATTGTGGCTTTCATCGTACTCTGGCTCACAGATGGCTCTAGGCCTACTGCGCTCATGACGAGAAGTATGGCCTCAACTAGAATACTGGCTTCCTGTAGGATGCTTGCCCAATCGATGTCTGCAACTGTTGTGAGCTCTTTCCCAGGTAGGAATTCCTTGCCTTCCCTTGTCATCTGCACCAAATATTTGCCACCTCTCTTCTGGGTTATTTCCATGCGAAATGTTGGGATGCTGAGTGCCTCTTCTATCAGCTTGATCCGGTCTTCAGGCAAGTACTTGGCAAGCCTTTCGCGGATGTCTTGGTCAGGTCGAGAAGCGAACTCATGGGCGAGTTTTACTTCTTCGGTGGCTGCCGCTCTGGCTGCTTCAGTAACAGCGTCTCTCACTTTGGGATCTGCATTCATCTTTGAAAACTCTTCGGGAGCATTTTTTTGGATTTGCTCCAAGGCTCCTTTTACTGCTTGTGAAACAGTTTCGCTTTCAGCCGCCATGTCGAAGATTACCTGTAAACAAGGAAGCAGAAAAACTTTAGTAACCGCGGGTCAACTGTTCGCATTTCGCTGCCAATAATTTCACTCTTTTCACGTACCGCTTCTTGTAGTTTGTATTTTTTGATTGATACGCTATATGTAATCAAACTAAATTAATTACCCGGCGGAATAAAGCTGGGAAGAGAATTTATGCTTAGGTAAATTCGAGAAGCTATATTTACATGACACTCTTGTCCTAAATTTTTTGCGCACAACTTAGCTAAGCCTAGGCCTGTTTCATTTAACTAGAGAAATTCGGCGAATTTTCCTAGTTTATATTGATCTATACATTTCAATTTTTCGGCTTGTTTTTGCTTTTCCTGAGAGAAAGAGATTTGAAGTCTCTCGCTTCTCTTGGAGTTGAATAGCGGTATAAAAAGTAGACATCAAGCCGATCAAATGTATTCATGTCTTTGCAATTGTTATTTTGCCCTGTTGGAAAGTATCAGTGTGAACAGACAAGCCTAAGTTTCTATTGTAGTAGGAAAGACTACTTACGAAATTCTGTTCAGCTTGGCACTTAACACTTTGGAGCGAAAGAACCTAATGGAGTATGTTTCTGTTCTGCTAAACCTTCATATGATATCGCGAGGACGTCTCGTCACGCCCAAACTTGATTCCCATTATTTATTTTGGTACGTAGGTGTGCAAATCACCTGATTTTCCTAGAACTGAAAAGATAACTTTGCCAAAAGACTTCCGCAGTAAGTTAATACCCATTGTTGATTTGGTACGTGCACAAGTCACCCGATTTTCTTAGAAGTGGAAAGATAAATTTGCACAAAAGAATTGAGTCAATAACCTTGGTTGATTTTGCTATATTTTCAGATCACCGGATTGATATATTTGGAACTGGAAAGATAGAGTCGCCAAATCTCTCAGACACGAAAAGAAGTCTTTTGCCCAATTTTTGATGACGTTGGGGAATATTTAAGAAAGTTTTGGGGGTTGCGAAGAGGCAAAATCGGCGACCTCCCGGGCTTCAACTTCAATTTTAGGATGGCATCTCGTCCATTCGGTTTAGTTTTGTACTTCTTACGTCACACGATTTTCTTGTGACTAAAAATGCATTAAACTTGCCAAAATGGTTCCACAGCTTTTCAAATTACCACGCATTTTTGATTTTGGTAATTGTCAGATCAACTAACTGAATTTCTTGGAACTAAAAAGATAATTCGCCACAGTGTTGCACTGTCAGTTTATATCCATTGTTAACTTTAGTAAATCGCCAGATCACCTGATTTTCTTGGACCTGGAAAGATAACTTCCGCATTCAGTCAATAACTATTGTTTTGATTTTGTTTTTTGTGTCGTCAAATCACCTGATGTTTTTGGAATCCAACTGGAGACAAATATAGAGTAACCAAATCCCCAGTAGGGACGTAGGAACGTAGACGTACGGACTTTGGGCAATGTTGGGGGAATGTTTGGAGCGTTTTTGCGGTTGGGTCGGCAGAGCTCAATTATATGCACTATACGTTTAGTTTAGGGGTGGGGGGGTGAGGTTTCAACTTTAAGTTAAGTTGCCATCTCTTCCATTGTTGATATTTGCCACGTCTTTAGATCACAGATTTTCTTGGAAGTAAAAAGATATTAAACTTGCCAAAAGAGTTCCTAAGCCAGTCGTCAAATAACCATTCATTGATGATTTCTGTGCGTCTTTTAATAGATCAATTGATTTCATTGGAACTGGAAAGATAACTTGACAAAGAGTTCCAGACCAGTTTTTTTTTTTTTTTTTTTTAGGACATCATCAAATCACCTGATTTTATTGGAACTGGAAAGGTACTATAGTCGAAAAAAATCCCCTACTCAGCTGGAAGGAACATTGACTGAGATTTGTTTCTCATCTCCTGTACACCTACTTATGCATCTTCCATCGCTAGGCAATCCGTGGATACTCCTTGTTGCCATTGTTGATAGGCATGTTTAAATAAATTGCCGAGTCACCTGGTTTTTAGATTTCACAACTGCGAGGAACATTTATCAGATATGCTTCTGGCCTCCTGAACTTGTTATTGTTATTACTGAACACATCACCAGATAATCGGCACGTAAAATATATACGCGTTGAGACTTGCACGTATTTGCCATATCACCTGATTCTCTTGTGGCAAGCAAATAATTCAGTGAGCACTTAGATGACCTGACAAACGGATTAGAATACCTCATAACTTGCTGAGTAACACACACACGAACGTTTGGACACTTCATATCATGCCCTTCTCTTACTATTCTGTAGACGGAGTTCTAAGTCGGTGGATCAGCAAGTTGACTGAGACGTCACCAGATGTGCGCCTTTATGAAACGGCCATACCAGGACATGAACGCTCGTAAGAAAATTTGAATAAAACCCTCACCGCAAACCAATCTGGGCTTTGTTCATGGTTAATATGACGTGTAAAAGATACCACTGTACAGCTGACAGCAAAATACCCTCCCCCCTCAAAAAAAAAAAAACACAAAAATAAAACAATTGTAATCAGTATGTTCAGAGACTTTTGAAGATCATTTCACGACTGTAGGACTCGCTGTTTGCTTTGTATCATGATGCTTCATGTAGCCGGTTACACGACATGTGCTATTCTTTATGCACTTTGAACTTTCCTCGTGTGTTTCCCTTCCACTTACATTTACAGAGTGTATGTTCCACCATTGTAAAATTTCTTTCAATAAAACCCCTCACAAATGCACTACCAACAAGCTCAAACAGTCAATTTAAAAAAAAAAAAAAATAAGAAAAAAAAAAAAAAAAAAAAGAAAAAGAAACAGATTACGAGTAAAACTATACAACAATACTACACACTGAAATGTCCAATAAGGGATTTATAACCCAACTTTTTTTCCCCGAAATCCTGACTTTCGTCCCATTTTGAATAGGAGAAATGAGAGGACTACACAGAACCTGTTAAACCGGTCTTATAAACAGACTCTTACCCAGTCGCTATTTACGTGCTTTTGGGGGAGAGAAGATTGGATACTAGGGTGGATTAAGGCCACAAACCTTTAGACTACCAGCGAGCACCTTTCCTTCTTAAGAAAATAAGAACCTACTAAAGAACTTAACTAACACAATTCCTTAGTAGGCACCACATATATAAGAAACTTATGTTAACCTGGACAAACAAAGTTTTATGTAAGTGGAGTTTTTTATGTACTTGACTTTTGTTTTGTCTGTTGTATTTGTAGGAAGGAGAAGAATTTAAGAAGAATGAACACAGCAGTGAAGCTAAACCAGCTGGTGAAAGATAGGTCAACAGGAACTCAACTTCTTGTTATCAACTTACCTGGAGCGCCAACAGACGAGAACGACTGGTTGCACTGTATCCTTTTCACTCCCGTGGGGTGGT